GTAAGTACATTTGTACCCGACCACCCTGGCCCTGGATTCAGCTTTCCTTTTGAATGTGAACGTTAGGGCTATGAAATTGTTGTGTAATGATGTGTGGCAAACAATGATGACAGTTAAGTTACTTAGTGGAGATCAAGTTAAATGAAGGGATTTAATTGATGAAGAGGCACAAGTAGCACTGACATCAAATGGCAAATGTTGTGAGGATGAGCATATCGACAGAATGTACTGTGCCTACCTGTAATGTATTGTTCATAGTACTTGGGCAGAATATCTTGTTTAAACATTTAAGGATGACATCCTACTGTGTTTTTTAAATGTTGTTGGAAAAGATGTTGTCTGCAGCAGGCAAAATTCTGACGTAACGTTGACCAAAGATTCTACGAAAATTGCGAAAAATCAGGTTTCATGCAGGTGCAGGATGTTCTGCTGAACCAGTCAGAATTGCCCTGAAGAAGGTGACAGACGGTCACTAAAACGTTGGCTGAATAAAAGACTTGGTTGTGTAAAAAGAGTCTCTTTACTCAGTGTCTTAACAACCTGATGAAACTATTCACGGATGTTTGTCTCGTTTCAGGAGGCGGTAGAGAGGGAGAGACAAGACGGACCCTGTAGAGGGCTCCGAGGCAGATCTGCCCAAGGGACAGCACCTGGCCACCACCAGCAGCAGACAGCCCTTCCCAAGACAAGGCTCACCCATCACACTACAGACGCCAGGGGGACACACCAGGGCCCAACTGCTATCCAGCAGCGCAGGGGTGTCCACCTGTGGCTCGCAGTTTTCGGGTTTCATTGGCAGGGATGAATACTACATAGGGACATCACTGGAAACGCCACGAAGGGAGAAAAAAGACATGCCTTTTTAAAAATCTCATCAAGTCAAGGTGGCTCTTCTTGTCTGAGAAGTTGGGATGGTAAGAGAGACCTGCGGAGTTAGGTCGTTTGTGACCCTACGGGGGACACGGCTGGTTACGATTGGCGAGGCGTCTGCTGACCAGGGAAGGCTGGTCGCCTGCCCGTGTTCTGTTTGATCCCCTGGGATTACGTTGCGTGGCAGCTCTCAGGAGGCGCATACATTAACGAGACTGCCACTCTACGAGAACTGTTTCAGTTCCGTTGGAATCACGTTCATTCGAGTTCAGTCGCTTCTGTTTTATTAGTTCTGAAAAGTTTGTTTTTCTTTGCACATTAGTCAGTGCGGACTCTGTTGTAGGCAGCAATGAGTGGTTGTTAATTTTAATCGTTAGTTGGGCAATAGTGCAATGCAGAATTCTACAAGCTTGTTATGTCTACTTGTAGCAGAAATAGGCACTGTTTCTAATAAAGCAAAGACCAACAGGCTTTCAGATGTCAACTTAGTACATGATGTTATGTATGTTAAGTACAGTTTCTTTAACTGAATTGAAGGACCATGTCACAGCCTTTCCAACACTGCAGGAGTTAAGAGATTATATACATGTATTAGCAAAGGGATATCAGGCCCCACCAATTTAATCAATTGGTTCTCGGATTGACCCACATTTTTTTTTCTGATTTGCAACAAAAAAAATTCAGGTTCTGAACCAACAGTTGACAAAACTTCTTGTCTTCTTATTTATTACACTTTTTCCATCTACATGTATCAATGCAGTGGATAAATTTAAAATTTTATTCATAACTTTGAATTATAACACAACCTGGGGTGTTGACTTCATGGCTCTAATGGTAGCATTTGAGGTTATCATAGGATGCCTAGGCTTGTCTTTTGTTGCCCTGTTGCTTCATTTTTTTTTCTAAAGATAGAACCAACAAATTAAATTGGTGTGGCCTCAACACAACCACATGCTAAATTACATACTTTGTTACAATTTGTTGTCAAAACTTTAAAATGGTTCATGTATTAACACCTTAAAACTGCATCTAGGACTTGGAAAATAGATTACAATGTGGTATTGACATTAGATTCAAAAGCCTTTGTGTTGCCATTGTATTTGCCGTTTTTATTTGCTATTAGTGGCCATTGTGGAAAAAAATTTCTGTTGTGAGACATTTTGCAGTCAATGTGCTGTAGCCATGCACTGCTAGAATACATTGTATTTCAACTGTTATGCCCTAAAATGTGTGATGCTGTACTTAAGTACTAAGATGCTGAAGGTAGAAACCAGGGTCAATTATGACGCTGCAAAGCAAACAACACTTGTGGAAATAAAGTCAAGCTTGCAGAATTTGTAGCGTGGTCTCTTAGTCGTGGTTTACCAGTCTCTTACGCACAAATTTTTTTAGGGGGCTGATACATGATTTTTTTATACAAAAATTCCGGGGTGCCAGAGTATACAGTGCAATTTTACGGAATACAGTGCAATTTTACGGAATACAGTGGAATTTTACTAGTATACAGTGCAAGTTTACGGAATACAGTACAATCGTATTAGTATACAGTGCAATTTTACTAGTAAAATTGCACTGTATACTAAGTATATTAGTATACAGTGTACAGTATATCAGTATACAGTGCAATTTTACTAGTAAAATTGCACTGTATACTAATACAAATGCACTGTACACTACACTAGGATACTAGGTTATCTTAGGTAATGTTTGTGGTTTGGAAGATCATAGGCAGATATCAAATATCCCAAATTCCTTCTCATAGTTCTGATACTACATATATCTACTCCCCTGTCTTGATGCCAATAAATCCGACCTGTGTTCCATACTGTACCCCATCTCTCCTGTAGGAGAAGAACCTTTGTTCAGGCTCACATACTGTACACAGCGTCACGGTGGCTTCAGTACCCAGGGTTCCATCATCTATGTTCCCAGGCTTGACTCCTGCTTGCTCCAACAACAGACGGGTAACCTTCCTCAGGTCAACTCTGGGCTTCTCTTTCCCTTCCTCTCTAACCACACAGGCTGGTTGGACTGCAGCAAACTTCTCTGCTACATCCTCCCCAACTTCAAAACAACAGGGACCGATGGAGGGACCGAGCGCAACCAGGACGTCACTTGGTACGGTCCCAAAGTTCTCGGCCATAGCACGCAGGGTTTCAGCCGCTACACCAGCCAGCGTCCCCCGCCAGCCAGAATGGGCTGCTCCAACAGCTTGATTGACAGGATCGGCAAACAGCATGGGGGTGCAGTCTGCCCCCGGTGCTGCTATGGTAACGCCCGGGATGTTGGTGACAATGGCATCATAGGCAGCCGGAGGGTGTTTCCCCACCACCCAGACCCTGGCACCGTGCTCAGCCTTCGCAATGTGAAGCTTCTCCACGTCAAACCCACACGCTGCGGCCAAACGGCTCCGGTTTTCCTGCACGACAACGCGTGGGTCGCGTCTGTTCGGGTTGAAGTTCAGGTTCAGAGACGACAGGGAGGGAAACTGTGACAGCCCACCAGAACGGGTTGAAAACCCATGATAGAATACGTCAGGGATAACAGATGACAACATGGGGCTGACTTTTCCTTTGCCTGGGACCTGTCTTAGGAACTCAGAGATGAGAGACTCTGTGATGGGCATCTCTGTGTCAGGAGGCACATCCTGGATGTGACATTCTCCTTTTGCACATGTACTACCAGGGTCTTCATCAAGGACTGTCTCAATCTCGTATACTTTGGTGAACAGAAGGTCATACATAGGTTTGAGTTTCTCCCATATTTCCTGTTGGGGAGAACAAGGTCAGTCACTTTGCATCAAAACGCCCTGCAATAGAATTCTTATTATGTATGAATAATATATATCAGTTTGAAGGGTCTGCCGAAACTATGCGTACATGTATGTTAAATAGCATTTTACATTACAACTCTAGAAGGTAAATTAAAATGCCCATTCTCAGAAGTTTCCAACTTATACTTAACTGTGCAATATATGTATGAGCCGCATATACCTGGTTAAAAAATCTTGATTGTTACATATGAACATGTAGGTTTTTTGAGCTTTTAATGGCATAACGTTACATAAGCGGAAAATGATTAACCAAATCTAATCTTATCTTACAAAAAGAGAAGGATTAAAGCACTCACAGCAGTTGTAACCACACTTATGTGTTTTGATCCTTTGCTGTCGGCCTCACACTTGGCATGGAATGCCTTCTTGATGTTTTCCATCTTGCTCCGAATTCTAAAGTTTAGGACCTTTGAAATGCAATTTTGTAGTCCAAAGGGTTGAAATAGAAACCTCCTAAATCGCAGTTAACAACAACAACAGTTAACTCGTAATATCATTCACGTTTCTTAACCTTATGATTTTGCCCACAGCAGTGAAAAACTCTCCTGATAGACTATTGGGTCCCGCTTTCAGGGAGCAACATTAATAGCGCTTTTTAAAAATCTTGTTTTGAACCAACCTCTGAAGTTCCGTGACTTCCGGGTTCACCAAAGGTCAACATTCCCATCATTCGTCAGAACCAAGATGGCCGCGCCCATGGACGTTTTTCGCGACAGCGTGAAGAGCTTGCTGGACGGATGGACAGTTCTACAGGTACGTGGTCACTGGAGCTTCTGAATGTGTTAACGTAGAAAGGACTGGGTTATAAGTGACTTATAGCTCAAGATGAGACTACCAAGATGAGCCTTCTTTATGGTAAAAGGCAAGGGATTACTGGCAACTGCCCCCCTCCCCACCACCCTAATATTTTACCACGCATAATAAATTTTGAACGTGGCTATTTACACTCCCGGTGTGTATATAAAATCTATTTGTCTTTTATATACACTCCCGGTGTGTATATAAAATCTATTTGTCTTTTATATACACTCCCGGTGTGTATATAAAATCTATTTGTCTTTTATATACACTCCCGGAAAGTTGATAGGGCATTCGAATGATCTGTCGCCGGTGCGAAGACCGCGCGATCGGCTGTGTTATCCGGAGTCACCAAAGGGACCGGGGCGAACCCCGGGTTGGTCTTGGTCTGATAGATGCACGCCAGGCCGTGAGGTCGGCGCTTCTTCCGCATGTATTAGCTCTAAAATTACCACAGTTATCCATGTAGGATGTGACGATCAAAGGAACCATAACTGATTTAATGAGCCATTCGCAGTTTCACTGAGACAGTTTAAACTTGCACGTGCATGGCTTAATTGTCTATACTATTACTAAAGTGCGACATTACGTCTTCCGTGGTCTACAAAAGAGAGGGTAAACCCTTCAGACATAGTGTTAGACATAGCTATAGTTTCCTAAGATGTATTACATTTTATTATGTAGATTTGGAAGTTATTCTTTACTCTGTTTCAATGTTCTTTTGTTTATGTCACTTGCAAGTAGCCTTTGGCAGGAATTTGCAATAAACTTTTCTATTACTAAAAAGAGACACTGACTCCAGGTGTTTGAGGTCAGCTCCTTTTACTTAGTGACTCTAGTGGAACAAACATACTGTGATCAATGTAGCCAAAGCTAACTACATGCTAGCTTTTATCAAAAGACACTGTTAGTTACAACATGTATTCACAGTCTAATGTCACTCTACATAACTTTGCTCAAATATCTCTACATAACTTTGCTCAAGATACTTCAGGCCAGGGGTTATCAAAACAAAAATAAAACATATAATCTAATGGTGGAAAATGTCTGGCAGTCATTTTTGTTAATTAGCACTTCCAAGCGAACTCGCCAACTCCGCCCCAACTTCTGTGGCCTGGCGCCGGCAACCACGTGGACCCGGGCTAACCAGCTTCCCGCTCACATTCGCCCAGCTCGGGGCCTTGTGAGCGGACGTCTCTGGTTCCGCTTCTCTTCCCACCACCACCCTCCTCGCCACCGTATTCTTTTCTAGTTTCTTATTTTTACTAAGTCAAGTATAGAGTAAGACAAGACATTTTGTTGTAGTTTTGTTTTCTTCGAAATCTTTATTCATTGTGAGGCCTGTTTCTCTTCTGGAAAAGTTCGCCAAATGATTAAACTTTTCCCTTTGTCGGCCAAACTGCGTGTCTCTGTCCTTTGTCTTGGTTGGTGATAATTGAACAAACATACTGTGATCAATGTAGCCAAAGCTAACTACATGCTAGCTTTTATCAAAAGACACTGTTGGTTATACAACATGTGTTCACAGTCTAATGTCACTCTACATAACTTTGCTCACAAGTATGCCAGAGTATTGTTCCCCTACTTGCTCCTGGGTCATGCAGGCTGACAAGTCTGTGTGTGTAAGGTTTACAACGTCGAGCATCCAAGTACATACCGGTACATATACTTGCTGCAGGTCCTGAGCTACCTCTGTAACTAACTAACTAGCTAAAATGCTTATAAATTTTGGACATCAGGTCGAAGATTGTAATACAGGTCTAAAGATGACTCATATTCCATCGCAAATTGATGCCTTACATGCTAGTGTTATCAGGCGGTTAATGGATAACTCAGAGGGGGACTGGAAGATACTTCCACGTCTGTTTCTTAACAGTTTTGGAAAAGATTTCCTTATTCTAAATATGCAATTTAAAGACAAACGGGATTGTCCTAACATGGAACACATACCTTTGTACTACAAACATGTTATCTGTAGTTGGCACAAAGCGATAGGCAGAAATATGTTAGAACCCGAGAAATGGAAATTAATACAGTGACCTCTATGTAACATCTGTTTGGAAATAGAGGACGAAAACCATATGTTCTTTCAATGTAAAGGACTTAAAAATTTTTGGAAAAATACTGAACATCATAATACTGAAAAAATACTGAACATCATAATTATCATAAAAGATATCAATATTGAAACATTAATATATGGACTTCCAAGGAACTTACAACAAACAAATGCAGGTAATCATATGATTGGTATAGCACAGTATGCAATATTTAAAACCTGGTGTCTATATAAGGAAAAAAGCTTCTACAAAATAATTGATCCATTCTCTGTTTTCTTAAATGATTTTATGTCCAGCTTAAAAATAGAGCAAAATATATCATACGGAAAAGCAAAAAGAAAATGGGGGGATCTTCTTTACCTGATAGATTGAAATAAACATACTGTATATATTGTAAATATCATCATGTAACATGTGACAAAAGAATAAAGACCACGGCTCTGGGATTGTGGAATATAAAAAATTAAAATTTTTTAAAAAACTAAGCTAAAATAGTCCGGTGGATGGTTCTTCTCCTCCTCTTTCTAGTCCCTGTACCACGTCTCTTCAGGGGATCGCTCTGGTCCCTTATCCATCAGTTGCTGAGCTGCCTCCATGCTGATTCCCTTGATCTTGTGGAGGCCATACAGAATTGCCTGCAAAATAAATATGAAAGGTGAAATATCTTAACTGACATCCTATGCCACTCAAATGAAACATGGTAAAATGGTCACCTTACTTGGACATGCAACTTGTTTGAGCACAACTTAATCTGGACATGGATTAACATCGACACGTATTGGTAAGTGGCTAAGAACTGGAAGGTTCGGGTCTACAACCGATATTGCTGGTATGTCAGCTTGAGTTTTTGCATTCAGTAAAGTCAGTTTCAAACAATCTGTGTTGATGTACGCGTAGATTGTGCGTCATTAGTTGTCAACCTGTCAGGGTAATGTATGAATACAACATACAACATGTTTCATAATATTTGCTTGGGGAGAGCCCTGCACATAATTTCCCGCCAGTACAGTACTGAATAGTCATAAATTTGCCCCCCTCCCCACTACATGCACCACAGAGTAGAGTAGAGTAGAGTAGAGTAGATCTTTCGTCTCGGTCTGGCCAAGGATTGTGGCTAGTATGGCTTCAAGAGTGACTTAACAAGCCAAAGGAAATTCCTGAGCTACAATGAGAAAAAAATCGATGTATACTCACGACTGATTTGGCCGGATTCCCGACCCTGACAGGCGCGGCTTCCCGTAATGAATACATCCAAACTTCACCGCTTTATAAACATGAGCACACGGAAACTTTTGGACGCCTTCAGGTAATTTCCTGTTCTCAGTTTCCACCTTCTTGCTACTGATCTTACTGAGCTCAGCGTGTGTTGTTTCTTGATAGTTGTCCAGTGCTGCCTTAAACTCTGCCCAAGTGAGAAATTCGTCCCCTAACTTCAGTAGGGACGGCGCGGCAGCCATGTTGGCGCGAGAGACCAGGCCAGCGGGAGACGAAAAATAGCGGGAAATCCCTGTCGAGTGCTGATTGGCTGACATTCTGGTCGTAGGTCAAAACCCTGTGTTTTCGAACTTCGGTGGGGATTTCCGTGTTGTTTTCTGATTTTCATCATCCACTAAGATAAACTTGAACACCGAGGTTTAAACTTGGTGCCCCTGAATCCTCAAACATCAAACACTCACAAAAACCCAGGTTTTGGGCCTACCAAGGAGGCTAGTATTTCGGAGTGTATATAAAATCTATTTGTCTTTTATATACACTCCGGGAGTGTAAATAGCCACGCCGATAAATTTTACCAGGTTAAACGTGACTGATCATCAGTGATGTCAAATATAAGGTGAACAGATGTGCTCCGTATATATTTTATTACTTTTCTGACACTTAGATATTATGCTGTTCACTAACATACACGTAACATCTTTACATATGTAAACCTACGAAAATGCACCCACAGAAAAATATTGGGTGCACATTTTCTTTTCATTTACTTAATAGTTCACCACAAAACAAGGCCCATGGGAGCCACTGAAATGTTTTGGTTTACTGTACAGCCAATGAGGACAGATGTTTGTTGACTTAAAAAGTTTAAAGTTATAACCATGTGGGAAACAATCATGTGGTAGCTTGTTCCATAGTGATGTTGTTCTAGGAAAGAACATTACCAAAATAGCTTCTTTCCCTTTCATCGCTGACACGCTCTCTCTGATGTTGCTCGTGACAATTAAGAACTTTTTTTCATTTCCCCACAGCTTGCAGTACAACATGGGTTTGGTGGAGTACACAGCACAGCCAAGGCACAGTGGATGGTGGAGGCTGTCACTCAGTGGTTCCAGGAGAATGGTAACTAAAATTAATACACTAGAAATCAGTTAATGTAATTGCAAAACGTGTCAGTATTGCAAAAACCTACCAACTGCAAAGGATTGTGAAGTCCCAAAACGTTTCCCATTTACACCATTGTTTATCAAACCCTGACCATGTAAAGCCCATGATCGCAAACATTGGCTATTTGGCAAACAAAATTGTCAAACTGCAACAGACATTGAACCAAATATATGATTTAATGATCCATTGGAAGCAGTCCCTTTTGATGCTTGGCAATTTCAAGATTCATATATAAGACATATTAAGGAATATCATAACTCAGTGACCGAAATTAAAACACAGGTACAGTAATAAACCAAAGAGATTCTACTTGATAACCTTTCTGACTAAAGATGAAGCAACTCATGGCAATAATTTCTCCATTTGACTTTCAGCTGATATAGAGCCCGGTGAGCTGGAAGATTTTCTGGCAGAAATCTTGAATAATGAGTTTGACACAGTAGCAGATGATGGCAGTCTTTCTCAAGTAAGTACTATACTAACTCACAACTGGTCAATGTTGTTAACATCCACGGAAGGAAAACATATTGTTTTTGCTCAGTTTCCTCTTCTCCCTCTCCAAACAAAAAAGGTCAATGGCCTGGGCCAGATGTCTGTCACCATGGTAACAGGTGCTGTAGAAGACTGTATTGTTGGATTACATTATATACATGTAGCAGGACAGATTTGAAGGGGCTGGTCACCAAATATATAAATGTGTTTGAGTAAGAACAAACAGAGAAGTACATGTAGCAGTAGTTTGTTGAGCTAGACCATCCCCAATTTTATGCGGCTTTCCAAATGTTACATTTCTAGTTTTTACTATAGCCCCACTTGAAGGTAAGATTTTCAAAGATGGATGTCATTGGACCTGTGTTCCAGATAGCCCAGCAGATCTGTGGTTCCTACAGGCTGTGTCGGCAGGGGAGACAGCAGGAGGTGCTGTCCCGGATACAGCAGCTGCCCAAGGCACAGCTGTCTGGCTGTGTGGCAGCTACAGGGCCAGAGCAGGATGATGATGATGATGACGATGATGAAGAAGATGGAAAGGAAGAAGATAAGGATGAGGTAAGGGCTGGTAATTTCAAGTTTTGGAAAAGGCTGAGAGTTACATGTATTCAAACTCACTGTTTTGGCTGTATCCTTATACAGTCTTACATGTATCTTACTTTTTCACTAGGACATGGAGGTGACTCCATCTAGTTCTGTAGAGAATGGACCTCAACATCAAAAAGCTCAAAGTCAGCAAGCAGACAATAAATCAGGTAAGCAGTCCATGTTTTATGCACAGAATGTAGCTTATGTCATTTTCAAAGCCACTACTGGTACTTTGGTTTAAGCTAATGCCATTGCTTTGTATAGCACTTGTGTGAGTAATTGTCCATAGAATTTTTAATGATTGAATACGTCAATTTTAACATTGTATAATATTGCAATGATTTTAACTGTAAATGTGTAACTACTTAAGTTAGACTGACATGTCTGTAAAAACGCCTCACAATTCAGCCTGTTACGCCTACCAGGAGGCATTCATGTAACATCTAAAGTCCTACTAAACCAGTCTACTACTACTACTTTTGGATATAGCCATGTGTGCCTACATGTATGTAGTGTACATGTATTCTCTTGCTCTCTCACAGCACAAGATATGGAATCACAAAGTCAAGAGGACATTGACGATGGCTGGACTGTGGTTACCAAGAAGAAAAAACGCTGACATTGAAGACAAATCACTCTATAATTTATTAATAACTATTGTATAGATATTGTATAGATAAGTCTTTTCCATTCAACACTTTGTACAGCAAATTACTTTGTGTTTTACTATGATGGCCATTTTTTTACATCTTTTGATTTTTACCTTTGCCAGTGTTGAACGGCGTTTCTTATTCCTTGTGTTAATATTTCAATGCCTCCTCAAAAATCCTCAATACATAGTTGACGTTATTGGTAATTTTTAATTAAAAAGTCAATGTCAAGATGTCAAAGGTAGCATTATCATAAGCTATACAGGACAGCTTTGTACTTGAATGAATTGAATTCTTCATAAACGAATCAAGATTTTGTCATAAAATCATTGTCTGCATCGCAATAATAGCAAGGTACTGGAAGTTTCTTGTTAGTAAAAAATGCTTACTATATATATATAGCTAGTAATATGAAACTATGGCTTCTGATGATCAGAAAATTTTGTAGACACTGCCAAGGATTTTAAGCTAGCATCCCAAGCTGACAAAAACAAACACTTCAAATCGGAAACACCTGTGGCTACAATCACACGGGGGCCTGTGAAACTAGTGCGTATTTGCGAGCTCGGTTACATCATGAAGCATGCGTAGCACTGGATGACATCCGACCATCCCTCAGATCGTCACAGCAAACAAGGCCCCTCACACGGCAATCTGCAGGAGTTAAACAGTGGTGTGCTTCAGTATCAACTGGGATTGATGTATATAACTCTGTACATTAGGCAAATGTGTACAGTGGTGAAAAGGGGTGAGGAAAAAGCTTTTTTTTTGGTATTGCAGACAAGAAACAATGCATACTTATTGTCACTGATCATTTGGTAATGCCTAGGTCACCTTTCCAAACCAGGGCCCGGCTGGGCTGTTTATATGAACGAAAAACTAACAATTCATATCAAGAATATACAGAAATACCAATTATTATCGAAAACGTTTCTGTGTTTCCTTGTCTTTTATATCATACTTTTCGTTACATAAGACTGCCCGACTGGGCCCCGGTTTGGAAATGTGACCTCAGCATAAGAAGTCCCAAAGTACAGAATTACAAGAAAGAAATGGATTCAATAATCAGACCGTTGCAGGCGTACCACATTTTAGCCGCCAAAGCCGACCTTGGTGAGGAACCCGTCATTTTCGGCCCTCTCCTCTAGATCTGCCTGGGGAGCAGCTGGGGAAACGAACAGTCAACGATACAGGACTTGTCTTTCACACAACCAAAATAGTCTCGCTTACGTTTTGGTGTCTATCAGACACCTTCTTCAGAGGTTTTGACTGGAGTTCTGCTTCTCGCCGCTATATGTAGCCAATGTAGGTGGCCCTTTTGCTTTGAGGAAGGTGTCTGATAGACACTGAAACATAAGCTAGGTAAGACTATCTTGGTTGTGTAAAAGAAAACTCCTATATCCTACACTTACATGTATAGGATACTATATAGTGTTCCCAAACCATACAGATGTCCTCAGGATGACGTATGTCCTTCAATACCTGCTGCCAGCTCTCGGGCCTTGCGCTGAGCTAAGGCGCGTACGCCATGGTAGCGTCCGCACATACAGTTTGGGACGCACCAGCATGTATGCTGGGCGTCGTTCACTGCCACCAAGGTGACCAACAGGATCAAGAGTACCAGAGATCCCTTCATCTTTGACGTTTCAAGTACCCAGTTCCCTGGGCTTGAAGACGGCTAGAAGTCGTCTGGTCTATATTATGTTGCGTACAATGCACCTCTCGCCAACGTAACCCAGCCAACGTACGGCACCAACTACAACTACCTGGTGTGCATTTCTGTATAGATAGTGTTTGGTAACACCCAGCGAGGCTAAATACAACAAAAAGCTGTGTTCGACCTTGACATTTTGAATACGGCCAGGGACAGTGATAGATAAATGGAAGTTACATGAGAAGAGTGTGAGCCTTTATCTTGAATACAAAGTTTATATGGTACACAGCAAGCCTTTTGTTACTAGTACCTTCAAGGAGGCTATGTTTTCAGAGGCGTTTGTGTGTATGTGTCTGTAAACATGATAACTCGAGAAGGCTTAAAAGGATTGTCTTCATACTTGGTAGGTGGGTAGGTCTTGACGAGACCTCGAAATGATTATTTGATTAAATATTTATGGTTATTCATGAAACAGAAAACTAAAATAGAAAATACTCTTAAGATTTGTATACTTAATTTCTCTGGTATTTGAATAGGACTTAAGAAAATGTGGACTTTGAATTTTGACTGTGTCAAAAAGTACATGTATATAGCTAGTTTCCTGTTCACATACAAGTACATACAAATTTTTACTGCATTCATTGTTACAGATCAGACATGTTTATTGCAGAATGCTTTTTTATACATTTGGTCTAGTGTTGCAGGAGCATTGATGGTTTATACAGTTGATACAGAATAAGGCATTGACATCTCATGTATATTACAACATATTCACATGTTCACAGCATAACACAGCAATTCTGTACATAGAGTTGATTATGTACAAGCTGTGTTGTCATTTTTGTACCTACTGGCTATATATATACTCTTTAAATTCTATCAAGGGATGGCTCCAGGCCGGTGACTTAGAACTTCCCCTACAAGGAACCTCAACCAGGAGCTTAAGAAATTAAGGTTCTTTGTTGTTAATTACTTGGGTGCATGCAGTACAGATATTGATGTTCATGATAGCCCAAGATTTTACCTGAGATTTTTCTTGGCATGAAATTATATCAACAGCTTTGGACAGTTGCAGATTCTTAATGTAAAAAGTGATGTGATAGTGAAGTCTTTTCATTAAAAATCTTCACTATGCCTTCAGGATCACCAGCAGAAACTGTTGATGTTGTTGTCAGTGTTCCAGACAGGTCAGTTGGTCCAGTTTTCTCCTCAGTACTGCAGAGGAAGTGGTTCACCCTTCACCACACGGCGCCTACCTTTGGTAGTCATGACGGCCATGTCCTGAGTAGTAAAAAAAAAACATTGCAGGAAAAGATGTACCTTTTCTTATTCTTAAAACCAGAATTACTTGAAACGAATGCTTCAGATGAAAACTAAACAAAAAATGTGCATGCCTTCAGTATGTTTTAATTTAATGCTCATGTAGCTTCGTAAACAGGTCCCACCTTTAGTATGCAGCTTGATCTGAGTTTTTGAAGAAGAGGCTTTTAGTTTTTACCTTTGTTTTTGCCATGTACCTATTAGCTTGTCTAAATTTGTTTTTTGACTACTGTAGGATATTATAAGGGTGTGCATGGGGGGATCCTGGCAACTCTTTTCTGTGAATTGTTGAGGGTCAACAACAATTTGAAGGTAAGATTAGCAACAGTTAACAGTAAACCAAGTGTAAGATGGAAGATTTTTAATGGATATACATTTGTACATGTAGAGCAAGTTGTGTGAAAGTCTTCAAACCTTGAGTGACATTTTGTTAAAGGGGTGGTCCTTGCCCAGCCTCCTCTGCTTAAGCAGCATTTGGATTGTCTCCCTGATGGCTTTCTCTTGGACTGTTCCTGTCACATCTATGACGGTGGAGTCCGTCTGGAAATAATGACCAGAGATCGCCTGGAATGGGAGAGGCACACTTGTTCTATAAAACTTATTCAAAACAATCTTCTGTCAACACCAATTTAACCCATACTTGGGTCTTGGATTCATCCACTTCATTGTTTCTTCTCTGATTTGCAAAAAACAACAAAATATTCAGGTTCTGAATCAACTACATGTACAAAATGCGACTTATTTTGGCCCCAACATTTGAAGAAAGTACAGGGGAGTTGGTCCACTAAAGTAAAGAAGTACAATTTCCTGCTCCCAAACTGTACTACTTCATTACTGCTGAGCCCCACTGCTGTTTTTAGCAGCCTGCATATTTATTAGTAACACTTCAAAGGACAAGTGAATATAGCTACTATATAATATATGTGTTAGTGATCTTTACATAATATATAGTGGACCAACTCCCCTGGCATGTTGTCTATTTGGCCAATTTCTACTCTTCACAGCTGCTTCTAAAGCCAGGTAGACACTACTATTTTTCTTCCAAAGTCAGTAACAAGAAGAACAAACAGATGGAATATCACCTTCCTGAATCCCTTGGTCCTGTTCATGCCTGACCCGTGGATGAGGATGGGGTGGAAGAACACCGTGTCTCCTTTCTCCATCTCCAGGTGAACACGGGGAGTCTTCTCATCAAAGTCCAGGATCCCGTGGTACAAGTAGTTCACTCCTCCCTGAAAAAAACATCAAATGCTGACACTTCAGTAAAAGTATACTATATAGAAGATACAATGGTTTGTTTTCTCATCATTGGGAAAGAACTACAGTTTTCCTTTGCAGGGGTTGTACCAATGATGTCCTGCTGTTGAGAAAAATCTATCATTCACTTAGTAATACCCTTTTCATTCCTTGCAAGACATAAGGCTATGACTTTTTCTTTCCATCTAGGTCTGTTCTTGGCCACCTTCTTTACTGATCACCAGGATAATTCCATGGATGCCAGGTCATCATCTGACACAGTTATTTTTCAAGTGGTTTTGGGTCTGCCTCTTTTCTTTTCCCAACAGGTGTCCCATTTAAGACTCTTTTAGGTATTCTTGAGTCATCCATTCTTAATACATGGCCAAGCCACTTCAGTCTTCTGTTACTGATTTCTATGGATAGTGTTGAGTTTATTTAAGATCTTATTGGTCCAGAAGATGCAACAGATCTTACATAGGCTGTTGTTGAATGCATCAATCGTTTGCATGTCTTTGTTACCCTCCAACTCTCTGATGAAACCTATAGAATATAACTGAGTAGCTGGCCTTTAATAGTGGTCAAGATGCATATAAAAAGACAACAAAGTTTCGCCCTACCTCCCATTGAGGGTAGCCATGTTCCTTGATGGTTCCCTCCCTGTGTGAACCCGGCAGCACAACCAGACAGCCGTTGGACCGGTCCACATGTTCCATGGCGGTCCAGGCACACACCACCCTGTCTGTGGGGCGCCAGGGGAAGTAGTACATGTCCTGGTGCAGGGGGTGGCGGGAACTCTTACTGCCTGGATAGGACACAGGGTACAAACATCAGAAACACTTTTTTTCCAAACAGATTTTATCACTGTGTTTTGGAAGGGATGTGTCTGTCAGCCCCTGTCACACAAAGGTATGGTATATATATATAAAACACTGCAGAACTCCTGCTAAAGTTCAAAGCCTTTCTTTTGGATGTAATAAATATGTAGTGTGTGCAATTTCTGTGTACCGGTAATACCACAGATTTGGCTGCGAGTGTCAGACTGTACATGACAAAATACTAGGAACAGGAGACTTCAATGTAAGAAACTAAACTGTACCTGGGTCTGGAGGCTTGTTGATGAGCATGGTGTGAGCCACAGAGATGTTTGGACCACTGAAGCTCTCCACATACTGCAGTATCTGTCAGAGATTACCAAAGTTAGTTTCTGTGCAAGATTCCACTCAATATAGAAACTGTAACCATCTTTTAGTGCAAACATTGTAGTGTCAACCAAAGGAAACCTGTATGTCACTGAAGTTTCTAACAGGCCAAAGGGCATACCCTTGGTAGCCTCTGCCAGGCTTCCTTAAAGGGGGTTCACTCACTCACTCACTCTCACTCACTCACTCACTCACTCACTCACTCACTCACTCACTCACTCACTCACTCACTCACTCACTCACTCATTCTCACACTCATTCATTCATTCTCTCTCACTCCCTCAGTCACTCACTCTCTCTCACCCACCTACTCACTCACTCTCTTTCTCTCTCGCTCGCTCACTCTCTCTCTCTCACTCACTCACTGGTCCTTTGGGAGTGGGCAAATAAAGAGTGGCTTACTAGTAGTAACTCCCCTGGCCAATAATTCTCCCTATTTTGCTAATTTTACCATTTTGAACCCACATTGTTAGTCTGGTGGGGACTAATACTAGTACCTCAGGGTCAGCACAGTATCCCATCAGCACTGGGTCATCCTGGAAACTCTGTATCTTGGTGACAGACGTACTGTCCTTGGGAAGCTTGGCCTTGGACTTGACCAGGCTGATGTCCTTCATGATGGTCAGACCAGGTACTGTCACCTCACCACGGCAGATAGCCTCAAAATGTTGGCTAGGAGATGAAAGATAAAGTGGAAAGATGACATTTTGTCATTTACACAGACTAGTGTAACAGACTACTGCTTTGTTAATTCTAATACTCAAACACATTCATATATATTATGGTGATGATGGCATGTTGACCAGCCCCACCAACTTGCTACATAATGTAACTGAACACCACAGGGTGTCTGCTGTAGCACCAGTTACCATGGTGACAGCCATCAGGTCCAGGTCATTGATCTTCTTTCTTGAAGAAAAAAGTTTACAAAGCAAAAAAAAAAAAGGTAGACATAAAAATGTAACAGTTTGTGCTTTAAAGACGTGTCTGAAGAAGAACAACTTTTTCTACAACATTTTGGCTTCCTTGGATATACACATTTTTGTGATCTTAGAATTAAACTTGAAGCCAGGTACTTTACAGAGTACAGTAAAGAGTACAGAGCTATATTCAAAGACTGATTCATAGATTAACAATAACATTTCAGATAAAGCAATGCTTTCTATCATTACCGGTAGACATCGAGCTTGTCATCTGATATCAGGTTCCTGATGACTATGAAGCCATTTTCCTCGTAGAACTTCCTCTGCTCGTGACTGAGGGCCCCGCCATCCACAGTGTAGCGGAACTCCTGGCTAGTTGGGACACTGGACAGTCCACCACTGGTGGGGACGGCTCTCACTGTCTGTGGAATCATAGTGTTCAGGAAACAAACACACTAAGAAATTAAAAGAACTTCAAGGTAAAATTGGAGCTGTGTACTCCCGCCAGGTATTTCTGTTGTCTACCTGCACCTAACCTACACTAGTCCATGTATTGAGTATATGCGGGTGAGTACTAGAAGGTAAAATAGGGGCTGTGCAGGTATTTCTGATGCCCTGTACTAACCTGCACTGGTCCGTGTACAGGCCCAGGGGTTACATGTGTAGATGTATAATGCAATTTGCAATTGGGTTTCATTTTCTGCATTGACTGTCACCACCTATGAATTTCTGTAAAAGAAATATTGCAATGGTTTCTGAACAGTTTTTAGTATGATCTGGACTTTCTAAATTCTGAGTGTTACAAGTAATATTTGTCAGGAATTTTCAATGTTAGTATATTTTTACCTGCACCAGTGCAGGAATGCAGAAAAAAGGGATTTTGAGCTCTGCATGACAATGGTCATGTTATAATTGCAATTTAGCCTTACACAGCTTGCAGTAGGTTTAACCAATTACTAGTAGCAGACCTGAATGTTGAAACAAAAATTTAGACCTGAATGGTTAAATCTGATTGAAAATCTTTTAGCATCGGTAACATTAATAACTGTTACATGTTTTTATTTATTTGTTGGTCACCACAAACTGCTTCAGCAATTTAAAAGGTAGGACAACTTCGGGTTGTATTCTACTATGCATTGTGCACAAAAACAAGCTTGACTTTGTTAAAGGTTGACCCTTAATGTTATAAAAGCAAGGTCCAAAGTTCAACAACAGACAATGCTCCAATATGTACAATGTGAAAACATGACAGCTGGTCTTATGTGAAAATAACACACTGTTGTACGAAGAACACTGGCAAGAAGAAAGACTAAATACTGATACACTGAATACTTAAGATCTGAAACCCTGAAGGATACAGGTCCACCTGCTGGTGCCACTGCCAGGTGCTGTGCAATCGTCTGCAACCGGTTGGCAGCCATCTTGAATTGACCTGTAGGTCACTGACCTCAAAGGTCACTGTAGCTTGGACAAAGTCTGTCTTGTATTGAACCAACCGATCCTACATGTATATTTAAAACTGCTTATGACATGAAATGTGTATCTTAGGCTATACCAATTTGATTTGTTGGTTCTCTCGGATATTTTCAGAAAATATATGAAGCCACAGGGCGAAAAAAATAAAAATAGGAACCCATCATAGTCTTCCATCAGTTTTCCAGGTAAAATATCCCAGTTTAATCAATAACAGACTCAACTTTCTCATGTTTGCTACATTTTATTGGACACTGTAAAAACAATATCAATTCATTTACACTTTTTTTGGCATCAGTATATCATTTGTCATAACTTAATTCTGTTATAACTTATTTCTCATCACCATTTTGTTGCAGATTTAACCTTCTCCCTGCTACCCTACCTCTGATGGTTAACTTTGCAGGCTGAAGGTTAAACTAAACAACGGTAAAGATCTGATGGTTTTAACGGATTATAATACATTTCCAGATGCCTTAATACCAGTACATGTGTATTTACATTTTAATGAAGACTATAGCATTACATTCTTACATCATGCATATAAAAGTCTAGTTGCTGTAATATTCATACATTGCTGCTTATATAGTCAATCTCTTTTTCATACACCACCAGTTATTAACTCAATATGCTAGCTGCACATAATGAAACATAATTTACATACATGTATATCATAGATATTTGAAATTATTATTTCAAGGCACTTTTGCTGTTTCTCCAGGAACTTTACTGACAAAATAAGAAGAAAAATATATTGATGTTTATAATTGTATAATTGTAATTGTAAATTTTAAGTCATTTCTTGTGAAAATCATGAATGTTTTAAATGAATGTACTGTGTAAATTACTTAAAATTTGATTGTCTGCCAAATGGAATAATTAGTTGACTTTAACTTCACATTTGAATTTGATTTGATTTGATGGCCAGTGTTTTTAATGGCAATTGGCAGGATTTATAAATTACTACAATTCATATATAAGTTTATGGATTACAAAAGAAGAAGAAAGATTTCTTGTAATCTATTTTACTCACAGCTCAATTTTGTTGTCTGTCACAAACTTATTGCTGAGCAAAAATTTACACAGAAGTGTGGCACACATTTAGGTTGGTTTGCTCAAGAACATTTGTATTTTGCTGAGTTTATTTTAGAACAAACTCTTGATGGTTGTTGGAAGCCCAGTTTGACAGGACCAGCTGTTTTGTGTGTTGTTATTCCGCTATCTCTCCAGGCTGTCCCTTCACCAGTCGTGCCCGCAGGCGCCAAACATCCTGCAGCAGAAATAATATCTCAGTCAGAATCATATAACACTTATAATATGTAACTTATAATCATATAACTGTCACATGGAATAAACACATTTTTACATAAGGATTTTTACATGTTGATTTGATATATGGATGACATCCATGCATGCATGAATTTTTGCCCTTTTCAAAAAAATATTTTGGCCATACTGAAAAACAGCTGCAACATGAGCAAATATATGTCGTAACTTGTAAAAATAATATGGGGAAAATGATATATGTACTAAGGTTGTGGAATGCCAAAATCAATTCCAAAGGAAAGAAGAAAATGTGAAAAAATTTGTCATACTATACTCTGCGTGTTTAGTCATTTGTTCAACCTTCATAATTTTGGCAAACTTTTTTGTTTGCACACTCGCATCACTTTTGGGGTTCATCCATATTGGAGGATGTCATCCATATAATCAAATCAACATAGCCTAAGGTTGACTTCAAAACATCAAGACTTTGTTACCTTGAAAGATATCTTGATGTTGCCACCAAACTTTTTCCTGGCGATCTCAAGTGTTTCATCAGAAATGTTCTCCTGGGTTGTTCCCTCCACATCAATGTAGTGGCACTGGGTACTGGCATAGTGACACGAAATGGCCTACAAAGAATACATTTTAAACATTTATAAGATACACTATGAAACATATGAACCTTGGTGTGCAGTGATGACAAGTACAAACACTGCAAAGTGATGCTGCCCTGTCTATTTCTTTTCATTGCAAAGAAAATTTATTCCAAAACATTAATGAATGAATGAAAGACCTTTATTGCACATTTTAGGGCAAAGTACAGGTCATGGTGATAAATTTGTAAGTACAACAACAATGATGCAAGTCTGATATCTTACATCAAGTCTAAGAACAGAAGAAATGAAATTTTCTTTGCTACTGTAATTCACTTTATGTTCACGGTAGCAAACGTCCACAGTCTGAGAAAAATTGACAGGTTCACAGAACTATATATTCATGGTGGCGACAGGTGCAGGAAAGAGAAAGTCCAGGAATTATTTTTTAACTGTAATGATAAGTTCAAGGTACAGAAGTGACAGTGAAAACAGTGAACATAACAGTACGGTGAAAAAATCAGGAATTACAGTATCTAAATATCTAAATCTAGGGAACTTATTTTGTATTTAATTGAAGAGGATATTTCTCTCATTAAAAAACTGACGGTCATACCTGACATTCCAACAAATCTGGGTTGACATTACATTACTATTTTACTACATACGTGTACTGCATTTTGTGTATAATATCAATTGGTTTAACTACCTTCCTGAATCCCTGAATTGCACTGTTTCTTACATGTACAGCTCTTCTTAGCGAATACCCACTTTAACATACGTGTTTGAAGCAAATGTCCAATATTCCTTCCAAAATATCGACCCTCGTGCAACGGCGTCAAAATCCACCACCACAAACATGTTCAAAAAAGGTCTCCCCTGAATTTCTGCAAAGCTTTACAAGCTTTACAGGACCCCTTTTTTTTTGCAAAATATGCACCATGATGACACTCACCTTCCTGAATCCCTTAGTCCTGTTCATGCCAGACCCGTGGATGAGGATGGGGTGGAAGAACACCGTGTCTCCTTTCTCCATCTCCAGGTGCACACGGGGGTGGTCAGGGGAGTAGTCACGCACACCGTGGTACATCTTGTTTACACCTCCCTTAATAAGAACAAACAAACAACTCTTTGCATCAACATCTTTTCCTATACAAAGATATGTCAGAGTAGAGACTCCAATCTGGAAGAATCTGTGATCCTATCAGTAGAGATCTTGATCAGAGTCTCCGTGTTGGAGTCTATAATTGCAGGCTCATAATTGGAGTTGGAGTCAGAGTCTATAATTTTAAAGACATGGAAGTTAAGTGGCCAATTTCCAGACAATGCTGAACTTTGAATTAAATCTGCTGGCTACAATTAACAGTGAATTAAAATGGCTCACTACACTTCAACTCAAGGCATGCAGATTTCTTTCTATTATGTTCTCTAGGACAAGTCTTCTATGGTACAAAAAAGGATTAACAAATAGAAGCTTGCTAATAGACTTGTACATTCAGATTTTATTGCAATCAACTTGCATGTTACGTACACTCCTATGATAACATGAAATATCTTGATGCTTCCATAAATTAAAAATTATTGCTTACATAATAAAGAGCTCAGTAGTAAATTACACATAAAGAGGAACGTACAAACATGTTAAAAGCAATTAAAAATGGGTCAACACATGTCATGGACAGCTTATTAAATAATACATGTACATTAAAAGTTTAGAGTATAAGTACTAGAACATTGTCATACCTCCCATTCAGGATAGTCGTGCTGCTTGAGTTCCCCTGTGTGAGAGCCAGGCAGGACCACCAGGCAGCCGTTAGACCGGTCCACCTTCTCCATGGCAGTCCAGGAGCACACGATCCGGTCAGCCGGGCGGAAGGGGAAGTAGTGCAGGTCCTGGTGCATGGGGTGACGGGAGGTCTTCAGGCCTGGCGGTCAGACATTACAGTACATCACTTAGCTAGTACGCTCCAGGTTCAACAGTTCAACAGTCACTCGTCCATAGTTTAACATTGCAAACAGTTAAGAACTGTCTGGTTTAATGAATAGCAAAGCTTAGATTTATTCACAACCACGTGTTCAAAACAGTCGACATTCGATGACCGTGTGTCATCTTTATCAGGGCAATTTTGATTGGTTCACCGTACACTAAAGCTAGGTGTTACTGGTTTACTGTGAACTAAAGCTGGGTGTTACTGGTTCACTGTTTCTTTAGTTTGGGTGTTGGCAGCAATCCTATCATTTCTGCAGGACGTGTTCCTTTACTTTACATGTATAATTGTACATATATGACCAAAGACAAACCTGGGTCTGGAGGCTTGTTGATGATCATAGTGTGCATGGCTGCTATATCAGGACCTGTGAACGCCTCCACATACTTCAGGATCTGCAAATAGAGTTGCATGTCAGCCAGAAATCTTTGTGGTGTAAAATAAGGAAACCTAAAAGCTTCAATATATATGGTGACCAGCCCCTCCAACTTGCTACATAATGTAAAACCAAAGGGTGTCTGCTACAGCACCAGTTACCATGGTGACAAATGTCTGGTCTAGGTCATTGACCTTATGTCTTCAGAGAAGGATTTATGAAAGTTGAGCAAAAACAATGTTTTCCTTCTGCAAAGGTAAACATGCTAGTACAAATGGTGTGGTAATACTCTATCTGCTAATTTAATACTGAGTATTGTGACTCCTTTACCTCTGGATCACAGCAGTACTCAAACAGTACAGGGTCCAACATCCAGTCCTGTATCTTGGTCACAGCGTGTTCCCCTGGTACAAACTCAGACTTGGCGATGGCCACGTCCCTCATGATGATGACTCCTGGGATCTTCACTTCTCCTGTACATACTTTCTGGAAACGCTCCCTGTGTACGGGATTACATTGTCAAGATCAATGTTATACACTTTTAAAGTGCGGGACCCACATTATGATTATGTTGCAGAGCTGGACCAACTCTAAAGCCCACACTCCCATCATGATGATTTAAACAGTTACATATAGCATTTACTCCAAATAACAATAGACCAGATTTACATGTGGGCAAAATCTTGACACTACAACAACTGCATACTACGCACATGAGTGTATCAAAACTGTGTACATCAAATTTTTCCTGTGTACAAATCGGCCTGCTTTGAGTTTGACGTATGTCAAGAATCTATATGTATACGTTCAGATCATATGTCAGTCCTAGAAGTAAAGTACAATCTGAACGTACGTTCTTGATGAAATTTGACATATGCAGTTAATTTTTGTATGCTCGTATGCGTACACAGTTTTTAAGCTCTCATATTTTTGCCCACATTTAAATCGGGTCATAGAGCATTACAACTGCAATTAGACAACTTATAAAAGCTCTGGAAGTCAGTAACGTTACTTGTATTTGTCTATCTTGTCCCCAGAGACAAGGTTCTTGATGACCAGGAACCCATTTTTGTCGTAAAACCTCCTCTGCTCATCAGACAGGATACAGCCTGGCTGACTGTACTGGTAGGCTGCTGCTGACACTGGGATGGTGGACTGGACATATGGTTAAGGATATTTATGGCCTTAAACTTTAGAGTATGATAACTGTTCTTCATACTAAACTGCACAAAAATAGGAATGAAGGTGAATATTCAAGGTGAACATTTGATATTATTAATATTTTACTAAAATGAGAGAGGGGAAAAATACTGTCTGTAAATCACGATTTTTTCGCAGTACTTTTATATTTGCAGTTTTCACGGTCACTTCTGTACCTCAAAATTATCATTTAACGTAAACGAATCATTTGCCGACTTTCTGTTTTGCTGCAACAGCCGCCACTGCGAACGAATAGTTCCGTGAAGATGTCCATTTTTCTCTGACCGTTCTATGGAACATTTGGAAGCCCATGAAGCCCATAAAGTACACCCCAGTCTGGAACACCCGTATCGAATGTAATCACGGCCCAGGTATGACATCAAGTAATTTACAGTACTTGATGACCTTGATAACTTAATATGTGTTATGACATGGAGGTAGATCTCTTTTTTTACCTCCATGGTTATGACATGGGGCCAAGAGAAGTGAAAATTAAAAATTACAACAGGACACTGCTAACTACATTTCAAAACAGTGAATATTCACGATCCAAGCTGAAGGTATCTTTCTAGGACAATCATATGATATGACGGCCACTGGACTTTAGATCCGATCAAAGTACAACCGTCGATAACGGTCTCTTACGTGAATCATAGCACGTAACACTAACAGCAACGACTGCGTACTGCAATGGATTTCATCCCTAAACTGTAGCTCCCTTGGGAGAGCCTCTTCAGGTGCAATACTAACGGGAGGCCAAGGAAACAAGACGCCTTTTTTGGATACTAGTAAAAAAGTAAATAATATTTGTAGAACTTGGTTTTACAAAAACATATGATTTTATCATGATTTTGAGTCAAGGATACGATGGCCTGCTGAGGCCTTCCCGATCCCAGGTGACGGAAAACGGTCTGCAACCTGTCTGCCATGGTTAGAGAACAGGTGGCGCAGCTGCTGGTGAAGCCCAGGTGCAAGGATACCTGATGACAGCTGCGAGGTGACAGCTGCCAGGTGAGAAAGTAAAAAGTTCTTAGTCAGCGGGTTCACGGCGCAGGTCACCGCGCAGCGTTTACGCAGTTCTCAGAAGGGCTAAAGTTCATCTGACAGCAATGAAATGTAACAAATTGAAAAGTCAGCACTTCTCAATAAAATACATCCAAAATGCATTAACACCCTCACCAATATATTTCCAATGTCTACTAGAGCCCACTTGATCTAAAACAAATGTCGTTGTTTCAGGAAGTTTTGAGGTTGAGAATTATTAAGAGAGTGGGAATGTGGTTGCATTTAGCTGCGGCTAATTCTTCAAATGGGTGGAACAAAAAACAAACCGTGACTGTGTCCTTGGTAAGTCCAAATAACCCAGAAAATATTCGTTTGATACAACATATTCGAGGAGGATGAAGTCATACGTGGTTTTCTGTGTTCTTTCTGATTTTACTGGCACGTTTTGAGCGCACGCCGCCATTATTTGATGCCAGTTTGGCGCGATCGAATATGGAGATGTGTGCCGGTAGATGAGATCGTGTGACTCAAAAATTATCCAAAAATGGCGGCTTCCAGTGACGGCGAAGACTTTTTCATCAATTCGGAACACCAGGCGCTTCTGCGTGCGCTGAAGTCGACTGTAGAAGGCCTCCTGGCCACCAGAACCAGCAATGTTTTCTCCACGTACGGAGGCCTGCCAAGGATGTACCGGGCGGTGGAAGACATCCTCCGCAACGGACTGAAGGAGAGGCGTGGGTTGTTTGGGAACGTTACCGATTATTGGGCATTTATAAAAGGTCTGCGGTGGTTACACCCGACCCTGGCACCGGCCCTGGAGAAAGCCAGCCGCTTCTCTGACCCACAGGAACCAGAAGAAACCGACCCTGGGCGAGCATGGTTAAGGAAAAGCTTGGAAAACCACAACTTGGCAACGCAGCTGAAAGTACTGACAGACAACAAGGACCATTTGCGCAAGTGTTACGAGGACACCAGCTTCCTGTGTAACCAAAGGTGTGCATCTGCCATGTTGCTGTGTCTGCAAGCTGTGGAACAGAATAACCCCGCAATCTTAGCGCAGATCGACCCCACGTTACTGACAACAACGGAACACAAGAACGTGTATGTCCGAAGTGCCTCCCTTCCCACAATTATCGGACGCGAATCGATTACCCACAACGTCAACCTGCCCTTATTTTCCCCGCCAAGGGAGAAGGAATTCGTGCACGTTGCAACGACAGCGGAACACGCGACGCCCATCAGCAGCGACATCGGACTCAGTCCAGACGGGAAGTCCGCAGCCCGCAACGTTCTCATGTCTATCCTCGAGGGAAAGAACACCGATCGCGCCGACGTCTTAAACAGTAACAAATTCTCGCCCAACTCCCGCAGCAGTCAGCTGGGGATCGCGTACAATAGGAACAACGACAACATGGCGGACTTGGCATTCAGCCCGGTCGTGGACAGCCCGCTGTCCGTCAGAAAAGTCAGCAGTGACAGTACTCTGTTACTAGGACGGATGTCGTGTCAGTGCAATTCTGAACTAGGCAGAGACGATCTGTTGAACGCAAACGTTAAAAACTTTGGGGACAGTACTTACAGAGTATGTCAGAGATGTGGTTTGGTGCAACAGTCCCCGGACATTGAAAAGAAGGGCCAGGTAACCATCCCTCCTGTCAGAAAAGAACTATCACGAGTCGAAGAAAACGGCAACAATGAAGAAGACGTTGGTATAACCATCCGGCCACCTCATACAGAACCCATGGACATCTCTCCTGTAGGGAATCCTCCAAGTACACCGAAGAAGACACACGTCAGGTCCAAGTCGGATGCAAACATTCAGGCCTTGAAGAAGTATCCCAAACAGAAGACTGAAGATGCTGTTGAGGAAGAGACAGCTAGTCTCCTATCAAGCTCCTTACCCGCGCGAGTGGAAGCCATGGAGAAGGCAATGGAGAACAAGAAGAACGAAGATGACAAGGATGAGACGGACTCGGGCGTTGCCGGGGTTACGGACAGTACTTACATCTCTCGACCAATGGAGGGGGAGTTCTTGATGACGTATCTGTCGGCGCAGGATTTCCGCACGTGTCCCGATCTGGACAAGGAGAACGCACACTTCAGCATCTCTGAAGCCCTCATCGCAGCCATAGAACAAATCAGGTGTACTCAAGTAGGTACAGGTTTTCTTTTGCGGGACTTAAGAAATGTTAACTACATGACCTGTACATGTTCTTCATAACTGAAGCATCACAATGATTAGTTAATCATTTGCTTTACTATCATGAAAGTTCATCTGTGTTTATAGTCAAAACTTTTGATCCAACACAAAAGATTGTTCTCACCTAGACTAGGCTAGAGCTTTTGACCAGTGACTCTGGTCTTCTTCAGTAGACTGACCCAGTGAAACGTGGCTTCTTTGACGTCAACACTGGGTCTAAATCATGTGATCACGGGGACGGGGGCCAACATTGTTTACATGGTAACTAATATCAGAAATACCTGCACAGTTCTAATTTTACTTGCACTACTGTCACTGTACTGGTAATCTGCATGTGCAGCTGTATTTCGAATGCTGCAACTGTGTTGTAAGACGCAAGTCACTGCAAAATATTGCATTAAAAAACATGTTTATCATCTTGTTCTCTCTAGGTTCCGAGGAGGCTGTCAGAAGATGAAGAGGAGGATGCGTCAGATGAGGAGATCCAGAAACTGAAGCACCAGATCCGCGTGCGACGTCGGGAGCGGCTGCACAAACGGGCGCAGTTTCCCGCCTTTAACAGCGATGGCACCTCCATCACCACCAGCGGGGACACGGAGCCCTTCAGCTCTCCTCCAGGTGATTATTCAGGGGTAGTAATTCACCAGTTTCCCATCCCCAGAATGCAATGCGAAAACAGGGGTCTAAACCTCATTTGCATAGGACAGGAAGGCATAAAATGCCCCAACACCTCAAAACACACTGAAAAACAAGCTGTTTAACGTCACCAGGATCATTCTGATGCCTTCCTGTCCTATGCAAATGAGGTTTAGACCCCTGTTTTTGCAATGCATTCTGGGGATGGGAAACTGATAGATACTTCTTTTCAGCGTTCCTCAATATTGCAGATGTCAACATCTTGTTCTGCAAGTCGGAAATTTATTCTGAAAATGAATAGAGACACTCTTTTCACACAACCAAGGTTTTGGTTGTGTAAAAAGGTTCTCTTTATTCATTGACTTACCAACCTGTTGAAATGATTCGCAGACTTCCTGAAAATGGAAAAAAAACTTTTCTGAACTTAGTATAGCAATTTGAATAGCACAATAGAGTACTTAATAGGGGCAAAATTAAGTTGATTTTGCCCCTAGAAACTGCTCTAGAATCTGCAGGGTTTGAAGGCAAAATTATCTGGACAAAATCGTGGCCACATTCATGGAGGCCGACACCGTTGAATCCCTTGCTTGAATATTTCAGTCTGCACAATTGCAGATTGCTTAATTTTTCTTCTGCAATATTGAAAATGTTTCTACAAAATGCAGATTGCAGATGGGTATTTCTAACACTGTCGTGTTACATTTGTAGGGCTTCCATTGCTTCATCACTTTTCATGCTGTTAGACATCATCTAATAGTACTATGGCTAGATGCTTTAGAATAGTACTATAACTAGAATGCTTTAGATTAATTCCCGTGCTGTAACTCTCTTTCCTTGATGCATCTAACAGGTCTGATTCACATTACAATTCACAGAGGTATGGTACTTATTAACAATTCAATAGATGTTTCATCATTATTTTTTTAGATTTTTTTTGCTTCAATCTTTACATGCATCATTGTACCTGAATGCTGGTGGCTGTCTCCATTCTTGATTTGAAAATGCTTCAAGAACTCTTGAACATTTTATGACAATATACTTGATTATCCTTTTTTGTAAATACATTAATGTAATGGTATCCTTCAGATTCATTGCCAATGATACAGTCCATGGGATTTGCTAGCCTGGTTACCAGACCTGTGAGAGGATATAGACTCAGCAGCTAAAACAGGGCTGGTAACCAGGCTAGAAATTTGCTGTACTTGCTCAACTGTGTTGAAATATAAAATAGAAGACACTAAATGTGAAAATATATCCTTGTGAAATCTTAGGCTCCACCGTGGCGTCGGACTCGTGTCCGTCTAGCGAGGAGGACGACAGTCATCGTCAGACCAGCGTCGCCGACTCTTCCGTCTCCCAGACCGCTCACTCCTCCTTCTCCGAGTCAGACAGTCGCGGCGCCTCCCTGAACCCGGCCAGTGACAGGAGCGGCTCCATGACCGACTCTTCCTTCTATGGCGTTGCTTCTGTCGACTCCACGTCTGCCGAAGCTGTGGCCATCTCTCTCCTCAAGAAGTTCTCCCACAACCAGCTCCCTAAAGCCTCGGACTTAGAGTGGCTTGTGTCAGAACAGGACGTCCCCCAGGCCCTGCTGCCCATGCCGACAAGTCTACCCGTGTCTCCAGACGAAGGCGAGAACTCCGATCTCGTCAGCACGTTGACGAAGAGAACCCGTCTGCGCGGGAACCTCCAGTGGGCCCCGCCTCGAGCGCAAGTCATCTTCAACATCCACCCTCCGCCCAAGAGGAAGGTCATCCTGGCCAAGCAGAGCTACATGTGTGCTGGCTGTGGTACCAAGGTGGAACCCGGGTTCATGAAGAGGTTCCGGTACTGCGAGTACCTCGGGAAGTACTTCTGTCAGTGCTGCCACACCAACGCGTCGTCCATGATCCCCGGTAAGATCCTCCACAAGTGGGACTTCAGGAAGTACTACGTCTCCAACTTCTCCCTCGACTTGATCAACAAGATGCACGCAGAGCCTCTCTTTAACATATCAGACATCAACCCCGCGCTGTACCGGAAGGTGCGTGCCTTGGACGCGGTGAGGGACGTTCGCCAGCAGCTGTATCACCTGCGCAACTTCCTCCGCACCTGCCGCCTCGGACAGAACCTGTACGCCGAGTTCAAGAAACTCCCGGATCACCTGACCCACGAGCCGCACGTTTACTCCATCAGCGACCTGCTACAGGTCAAGAGCGGGGAGTTGGTCGGGCCGCTGAAGGATTTTGTGGAAGACGCGGTGACGCACGTGAAACAGTGCGAGCTGTGCCAGGCGAAGGGGTTCTACTGCGAGATTTGTGGGAACGACACGGACGTCATCTTCCCGTTCGAGGTGCAGAAGTGTTCGCAGTGTGCCTTGTGTGGGTCGTGTTTCCACAGGGGGTGCTTCCACAACGGGAACTGCCCCAAGTGTGCCAGGATAAGAGCCAGGAGGGAACAGCTGGCCCAGGCCAAGCCTAGTGTGTCTGACAGCTCTGATGACGGCCAGGAATGAGATCATCTATCCACAAAATTATCTAGATTCAGACTTAGAATTTTATTAGGTGCTGTGAAGGTTTTGTAGCATAAGTATTAATGACACTACTGGTGGCCAGTATTTTGCAATCTGTACATGCCGATGTCTTTATAAATTGAATATAGACTGTAATAATAGCAAGTCGGCAGAACGTACTGTGCCTGCATGGATTTTTCAATTTTTTTGTCAGATGTTTGGTCAAAATTGCATCAAAATTTTGCTCATTGCAGACAAGATCTTCTCTGATGCAACTTTTGAAAACTATACCCAGAATGGCATCCTTTAATATGCAAATACGACCATAGACATTTTGGCGATGTGCTATGCACAATACATTACGGGCTTCACAAAGGCGCAGTACTTTCTGCTGACTTTAATGCTGTATTGTGGAAATATGCAATGTAATGCAAGACAGAATTTGCCATCCAGACAGGGTAGCCAGAAAGATTGCCATACCTCACTTACTTACATTATGCATATATTAACATATAGTTATAGAAATGGTTGATGGAATAGTGCAGGTAGACCTCTCAGGCACTGTGTGGTTATGTTCAGAAAGTCAAACTGGCATGTAAGATCCATGTAGTATGTGGTGTAAGAATTACATTTGTGTTTGTATTTATGGACTTTGTGACTTATAAATAATATGTTCACTACTAAAGTCTGGATATAGGAAAGTTTGCGACTAAATGAATTTCAGTGCTTTTTTTGAGACATTACTTTCTTAATTGATAAGAAGAAAGCTATTTTTTCTTGTATGGGGTGAAAAATAAGCTGAAAATGCTTAACCCGTGTACTTATGGTATTGGCCCAATGAAATTATGAAATATGAGTGATGAGACCAAGAGATAACTCTTTGATATCAAACTGCTGTTGGGTGAAATGACAAGCAAATGTTCCTAAAAAAAACATCAAAGGAGCACCTACCTTCAAGAAAGGAAATTGAAAAAAGAATATATATCAAATTAAAAGTAAGATAAGTTTCTACCACTGTGCCAAAACACTGATATCAAAAGTGTATAATTTGTCCAGAGAAATGCTTGGAGCAAATGTGCCTTTTAGCTGGATGCAATCACTGCTTACTGCGCTGCTGGTAAAGAACCAAGTGTACATGTATGTATGAGGATGATCCATTTACAAGTGTATGTAATGGAAGATATCTATATATTGTGAGAGTGATTATTTTGATATCTAAAGTTGGTACTTGACCATAGAGCATTATATTGTAATCTTTCCATGGTATCAAACATGGTCGTAATGTCTAGAGCATTCAACTGTACACATTTATTCGTCCATCGAATATGTGGCCCTATATTTAGATGGCTCTTCTCTATGTCATGATGTGGCCAAGACTACACTACTGTAGTATGGGTGTTTACTCTCTGCTGTGACTTGTTAATTTGCCCTCTTGCTTAATTTTGCTATAGTTGAGAAATAGGCATTTATGCACATGATACACATAATATATTCTATGGAAATACTATGATCATGGGAATTGTTTGTGTCAGCTGTTTTGATGAAATGACAAGTCTGTGCAAAGGTAACATTGAGAATTACCTGCTCCAACCAGAATTTACGAAGTATGGATCATACTAAAAATGTTCAGAAACTATTGTCATTATTTATTTTATACTTCATACAGGTAACAGCCAATGCAACAAATAGTAATCCATATACACCTACATGTATGTGGTATGTACATATAGTCATGTACATATACCCAGTACATGGACAAGTGCAGTTGATGAGGTGCAGGAAGATATTCAAGATCTACCAACTGAATGTTTGGCTTAGTTCCATCCATAAGAAAGCAATGGGACAGAAAAAGAGGCAAATAACACTATAATACAAATGTAACTGTTATTCAGACTCAGAATAAACCATTGAGTTGATTCTGATAAATTGCAGTTTCAGCTTTGTGTTTATATTTCTGGGTAATATTTCCTCGGTCAAATTCTTTCCTCTAAAACCTGTCATCAATTTGTATTGCTATAGATAATTGCCGATTTAGGTAGCAAATCTGACAGTTAGTGACACTGCTTGGTGTTGAAATCGCCATGGATAAAAAACACCCCGCAGTGGCCATAAAGATCACTGCAGTAACACGAATAGCAGCTTGTGCCGCCTGGTACTGACCATGGTGCTGAAATCGCCATGGACAAAAAAACGCGGCCAAAAAATCACTGCAGTAATACTAGTAGTTGCAGCAATTCAAGGCACCTTGTGTTGAACTAGCCCCTACCAGGCTTCGAATAGTAGAAATAGACCAATTAGATAAATAACATGCCAGGGGAGTTGTTCCGCGAGAGGGTAGTTTGCCGCACCCAGTCAATGATAGCCAACGTTATGGTGCAGTCCTCCACTGAACTGCTAGGGGCCGCTTTTGATCCATGCACTTCATCGTAACTTGTAATATATAAGCAGTATAACTCCGCACGGCCTCACCGGTTAGCTCCCAGGCAAGGTTGTTGGGAGCCAGAGGGTGGTTCAAAGGCGACTTCGCTATTCGCACAGGTAAACAACAATTTGGCTTACATTGTTCCCTATCAAATAGTCAGAACATGTCATATTTAACAACTTATATTCGCTGTTGAATTTAGCTCATTCTCTGTTGAAATTAGTCCCTTCTCTGTTGAATTCAGTTCCTTCGTTGAGCACACACGTTAATTGTCGTTTTGGTCCTTCGTATGCTTAGACTTAGTCTTTACTAAAACAGTTACTAGAAAAATCGAAGAAAGAGTGGTTAGCATTTTCTCCAGAAAAAATCTTACAATCGCTCCAAATGGCGCTTAATAACAAGTATAAGCATATTTCCCTATATGTGGATATGACGTTCAGCACCAAGGACAGGAGAGGGTAGTTGCCTGGTTTGTGGTCAAACCGTCAATCGGTATGAGAAGTGAGAGGGTGTCAATTTTCGGTTCGACCAATGACAGAGTGGCTACCATTTTCATGTTTCTATTTCAACTTTGTTGCGGAAGGTGGTAGCCTGGGTATCATCCAAGAAGGGTGGGTCAATCCTTGGGTTCAGTCTTAAACAGAGCGGGCTGATTAAGTCATTGAATTCAAACTTGAATACCAACACTTCTGGTCGCAGATATAACGCAGACATTATGTTTGACAGATAAGTCGGAAATGGTGTTGCGTGTGTAACTACTTCTCATTGGTTCCCATTTTGTTGAATTATTGATGGTCGATCAGGATTGGATGAGGAAGCTAATTAAATTGTGATCGTTATGCACATCTGTGTGTTATTACACACGTGTGTACACAGGTGGTACGGTCCGCCAAGCTGGACCTCGTGTGACGCATGCTGTTTGTGCGGAGTTGTTTTTGCAACTTTTGGGGTAAATTTTCGTCTTTTGTCGTTCTGGGTTCGGAAAATACCTATCGAAACGTGTGGAGTAAGTCTTGGGGATGTTGCTGCGGTGGATTTGTGCCGTTCTTTGGATGTTTGAGGGAGAAAATGCGCATTTCCTAACCTGGAGTTTTAGACAAGAAAAGGAAAATGGCGACTGTCGGGCCGCGGGAAGGGTGGCGTGGTGTTGGAGAGGTTCGTTTTCAGAAGGTAAGGCAAAAACTGTCTCTTTAAATGTTTTCCAAACAAACCTGTAACTACGAAGTAGTATATCCTGAGCAAACGTGTGTCTACAGACTTGTCTCACAGTTTTAAGACGATTTTGCTTTTGAATATTTTGCCTCTGCGTTGTTTTGAGAACAGTGAATGTATTTTCTCCGTGTCGAGTCACCGCTTATAAAAACATGGACCATTTTCGCTACGGAAATGACTGATTTAAAGATGTTTTGTTTGAAATCTCCGCTGGCGTAGTGAGTCTGGTTCGGCCACCGCGTGTTGAGATGTGCCGCACCTGGGCAAAATTGAATGCCATCAATTTTCCCGCCAAAAAGTAGTGTAAACAAGGCTTCTTCAATGGGTGAAACATTTGGATGACATATACGATATCCTGCTACAGTTTGTATTCCCGGTTTTGTACATGTATTGACACTGACACAATTGATGTCAGTTTTTTTCGGGGCTAAAAATACTTTTTTTGTCATACATGCATTCAACATGACATAGGACACATAAGAGGATAAGAGTTTTCCTGTACCACCCTCACTTTCTTTAACTTTAATGTTTAAAACCAACACAGGCCAATTTTTGAAATTCTAATCTTAATAACCATGTCTGTTGTATAACAGGATCTAGAATGGGGGTGTAGCCGGGGCTCACATAACATCTTTGAGCCCCGGCAAAGATGAAGAATGAAGATGAAGAATTCAATTTTGGGCTGTGTAAGTGAAATTCATCATTTGTGTCAGTACAGGTTGAAAAATTGCCTTGTATACAATGGCACTAGGGTAGTATCCATTATATACAGAAGTGACTCTAAACACTCTCTGCATCACTTTTCTCTTCTAGTTTATCAACAGTCCTAAGTAGAAGCAGTGCCGAGGTGAGAAAAATATGAATTCTGCATTTTGCCGCCCAATTGCTTGGTTTTATTTGAGACAAGTGTGTAATTTCTGATGTCTGTAACAGTTAGGTGGCTGCTGATGACTGATGCAGTGAGAACCCCTGTCTTAACCTGACAACATTGATGAGACCAAACAAGACCAAGTGAATTGTGGACCCAAGAGGAATATTGATGAGAATATTGGTGAGAAAAATTTAATTCTGCATCTTACCTATGATTATTAAGTTGGTGTTACTTGAGACTTGTGTGTAACTTCTAATGTTCTATTAGTGATGTGAAGTTAAGAATTTGGACAGGTGAGACAATGCTTTGCAACTTAACGTTACTTTAATTCTGTTACTTGTTAAAAACTCAGGCCTTGCAATAAAAAATATCCTATTCTTCAGAATCATTCAATATTGCTTTAATATGATTTTTGTGATCATGCTAATTATCCATTCATATAGTTAGGTGTTTCCTAATTGGGAAAAAACAGTGATGAAGGTGACTGCTGTCCAACGTGGACCACATGAGGGCTGAGCAACTCAGTTGTCTTAAAGATTAAGTGAAGCAAAGAGATTGTACAGGTGAGACATATCTTGAAGGATTTTTTCCCTTCTTCTCGCACTCTGAGGTCTAACATACTACCAGTAACTCGTTTCAAAATGACTTTCTAATGGCTAACATTTTCTATATATTTTTATCATTAGGGGTCCTGTTAAGGGTCAGCTGTCCTGATTGTGATGACGGCTCAGCAAAACAAGTGGACAACAACAACACTGAAGGAAATGAAGAGTTTTGCAAATGTAAGTGTATTTCACAACTTAATTTTCTTGGTCTTTCATGATAATTCTTGACTGGAGATGTTTTTGAATCACGCTTATTGCCATTTTATGTAGCGATAGGCGTGTCCTGACTGGCGACTCTTGTCCAAAGCAGATGAGGGTTCAGCAAACCAGTTGACCGAGTCCTGGGGGGAAAGGAGTATTTTGTAGTACCCGGTAAATCAGACTCAACATTTTACAACATCCTTTTGTACATAAATTTCCAATTATTTATGAGCATGTAGGTAGATTAACTATTTTTGGCAAGGTGTTTTGCTTTGACATTTTATGGATGGTTGATAAGAATATCGTAAACAAGTTTTGCTGTTGGGACTTAAGTTGAATGTGGTTTATGAACGAAATTGTGTGACAAACACAATTGTTTTCAACACAATGACTTCTGTTTCTCCTTCAAGATGTGGACTAGTAGACTGGTCTGTCACGGGAGGAGGAAACAGAGCTGTGTGAAAGAAGATGGAAAGGTGTGAGTATGGTTTCTTTGTTAACTCCACACACATACACTCTCACTGCCTTGTATGCCCTTTTTTGTAAGGCGTAAACAGGCTCTTTAGTCTTCGTGATCTGTAGGCAGCCACCCAAAATTGTTGCAAGGTCAATAGCTGTTTTCACACACTGACTTTTGTTTCTCTGATTTCAAGATGCGGACCCGGAGACTGGACTGCCATGGGAGGATCAGAACCCAACTTTTATCGGCGCAGCTGTGTGAAAGATGGGGGGTGTGAGTATGGTTTCTTTGTTAACACAGGACAACACTCCACACACATACACTCACATTTCTCTCCCTTATGCCCAGTTCACTCTACTCTGAGGGTCCATTAATCGTAGCCAGCCATTTTA